AGTGAGTATGTATGATCATGCACCCCACAGTAAGGCTTTGGTTATCTTACTCTGCTCACTGAATTTTATATTTTCAGTTCAGCATTAACAGAATTATAAGTATCACCTGATGCACACTTAATCTGAGCTTGATTTCTGCAAGCATCTTAAGATGGTTACTATTAATTCAAACAGAGGACTTAGCCATTAGCATCTCTGATCTAGCACTAAAATAGTCAGTTACTTGCACTACATATACTTCCATTTAACACATGAAGTTTTAGTATTCCATTAACAAAAAAACTCCAGGCTTTCTACATACAAGATAAAATTCTGCAGTGCAATTTCAGTCCTACCTCTATGACACGAAGAAATAAAAATTCTTAAGTAACATGCCCTTAAATAAACAAAATGCTCTCTATTCACACAGACACTAATCTAACGATCTAGATTGCCAAGATCTAAATACCACCGACAAAACAAAAAAAAACCCACTTACTGAGAGAGGGGGCTCATCTCTTATATCAAGGAATTACACTCAAGAGGTAGCTTTCTCCCAGAAGGATGAAGAAGACTCCCTCTGGCAGGAGCAGTCATTCCCTCACTCTACAACCAAGCAGCTGATTATTTCCAGAGGCCCATGCAGATACCCCAGGTCTCTAACGGGTGTGCAACGGGACCCAAACAACCTTCCATTCCCATCCACAACTAGTGCTGCAGAGCCATGCATTTCAGATGCAGCTGTGCAACACCCTCAGAACTTATTCACCCATGAAAAAGCCTAAAACCCAGAAGTGTGCTAACTTTCCCCCACTCCAAATGAACTTTATTGTCTTACTTTAAAACAGCTGCTAGAAACCCACAGCAGAAAGAAACACAGAATACCACTGCCCATCTTGCCCCAGCCTAGCATGCCACACCATCCCAGCAACTCAGGACAGCGCAGCCAGCTGAGAAGAAGGAACGCCATGTTCCCAACACCACTTGGTGCAGCCGCAGGCTTCCCTCTGAGATTCAACTAGCAGAGTTTACATCTCACCTGTATGTCCTGCAGTATCACCCTTCCCAGGATTCTGGAGAAAAGCAAGTATGGACTCTACTACTGGCTCCATCTAGAAGAGGAGAGGAGACCTGGAGTGTGAAGCCTTTCCCACACAGAGAGGAGAAAGGGAGGGGGGCAGGCACAGGTGCAGTACGTTTTGGCAGTACCCACAGGCTGCCTAAAAGGGACAAACCTGCACGTGGTATTGAACACTACCCTCAGAGAGATGCGTCTACTAGGAAGACCTGAAGTTGGGTAACTTGCAAGCTGGAGAGCTTAATCAAGAGACTTCTGTAATAAAAAGCGGTGTTATCTGATCTTAATCTCCCCTGTAACACCGACAAGCCCCATCTCAGGGCTGCTCTGGCTCCTGGCACAGGGTCCCACTCTCCTCTCAGCCTCAACACCTCGTGCTTCTTCCCAACCTTTAGTACACGCCCGCCAGCTAACAGGTTCCCCCCTCCCTCCAGAGCACCTCCAGCCCTCTCCAAAAGCCTCTGAGCAGCACCTCAGCCTACCCCAGACCTGTTTTTAGACCGCTGGGTCAGCCCGGCCCCCTCCCAGCAGCTGCCGCGGGCCCCTA